AAACGTGCAAGTTTTTAAAACTTTTTGAGGGATTTTCATACATAGATCTTAATTCATCACATAAAGACAAGTTTTATGCAAAAATAAAATATAATGTATCATTCAATTAATAGATTGAATACTTACATTAAGGTTTGAGTAAACCTTAGATCTCTCCTCTAAAGTGAATGTTGTCACTTATTGTAAATCCCTATACTAGATGCCATCTCCTTGGATCTCCATCTTCTTGGTAATGGTTTTACCATTAGGAATCACCCATAAGCCTCCATGAATGACCTTAGAAAACTAGGTGTTGGGAGCCTCCATTAGATGAGAACACTAACCCTAAATTTCTAGACAGGGAAAATATATTCCTTTTTCTTCCAAAAGTCCCCCCTAAAATATACATGGACCATGTAATATATATAGGTAACATAAAGATAAGGAAAGGAAATAATAAATCTTTCTCAATCTCTAATTACTATGTCTTAAATCTAATAGGATTCCAATATCAAGTTGGGCTATAAGTGAGAATCCTTTGGGCTTATTATTCTCTTGGCTATAATAAATTAATAATTAGCCTGATCTATAGACCCAATTCAATTAATTCATAAATTAATTTCTACTCCACTAAAACAAATTAATTGAACTCTAATTAAATAATAAATAACTTCTAAGTCAATGTTGCACTTTGACCCCTCTATGCATAATTAGTTATCGGATAAATAAAGCCATCAATCCGACTACTTAATTAATATATTTATTTTAGTACCTTTAATTATTTCTGGCTTGATCACAATAAAACATTTGTTTGACAAAAATAATAATTTAAATAAATAAATATATAATAAATCATTTTGTTTAAAAACACACGAAGTCTTTCGAATTTACTTTGTGATCAACCATAATGAATACAAAATCAATATAAGTACCAATGATGCAAATATTGAAAATATAACCCTCTAACTATTAATTACATAATTACCCAAAGTGCCGGTGTAAGGATTCCGAAGATTCTGCAGAACAAATCAAAGTAATTACTAATTAAAAAAGAGTTTATACTTTTTTCATGCTTAAGAGTCAAATGCTATGACGGTGATAGGGAACAATTGTATACGACGACTCTCACAATATATCTCAGCCTAACGCAGATTCAGTTCAAGTCTTAGTTAATAATGAGTCCATCCATAATTACCGACTATAAACTATTTATGATTACTATTTATATTCATGTATTGATCGCCATCACATACATATATAAATATCTCTTGTAATCAAGTGGATATTATCAATTCCATAATGAATCGAAACATAATACATTGAATTCACCAATTGTATAAAGCATAAATATTTCAAATATGTCAGGAATATATGTCATTTTAATCCAAATAGGAATTTGCCATGCCAGGGCATATAAATCCCAACATGCCGGCATTGGAGAAGAATAACAAAGAAAAATGAGTTTGGTTTCCGATCCAAAAACCTAGGACAAGTTCATCATTCTACTATTCACCTTTGATATTGTGTTCTATATATCTTTAGTATGACTTTAGGGACTTAGATTAGAAAGAATTAATCTGGTAGCATGTTTAAATCAGACTAAAACAGAGGTGTATATGTGTGTGTATATATATGTGTATACTTTGAATGAAATTGCTAAATCTTGATTTAAATCTATTTTTTAATGAAGCGAATTACGTGTACTTGCTCAATAATAATGCTTAACAACAATTAGGACATAGATGCTTGCTTCAGGATCCTTAAAGACGAATTTCTGGATTTAGAACGGACCTCCCAAGATGTTTCCACGAAACATGGCTCGAGCACTGTTTACAGAGCTCAAGCGAGCTTTTTTAGGAAATAGTGCTCAAGCCTTGTTTGGACAGTGTTTCAGTGTTGTTCAGCGCTCGAGCCCTAATGCGTGATTTTGCCTCGAAAGTATTCCGATTGGCCCGGGATTGATTTATTAAGGTCTTAAACATGTTATACAGACTCGGGAACAGTATTATGAGGATTATATGACATGAAACTTAGACTATGTATGACAATGCATAATTAAATCAACTAATAAGTTGTAAATTGATTATTTAAATTATTAGGACTTGGAATTTAAATGTTTTAGCATTAGTTATGATAATAATCATCTTAGTTGCTGAATTTGTGAAATATCATAATGTTCCATGGTTGTATCTATGGTTGCTATGGTGTGATGAAACGGACTTTAATGATTTATAGGTTATTCCCATGTTTTATTATTGTTTAATTGCTATAATAATTGTAATATATGATAGAATGATTTTAATCATGCTCGTGGTTGTATTATATGATCTTATGCATCATCTACCTCTGTTGTTATGTGGGACCATTTTCAGGATATGACTTTTAGTATTGTTGGGTATAGGTCGATCGGCTATTAAGTTGGATTCCATTTATTTATGCCATTGTAAGGATATGCCTATATTATTTTATTGTGTCATTGTTAGGATATGGTTACAATATTTTATTTGTGGCTGTGCCATTGTCAGGATATGGTTATGGTAGTTTATAAGCATTTGTGTCATTGTTAGGATATGGCTAAATGTTTATATTAGTAGTTATGTTATGATACGGGCTTGAGATCTCGGGATCAGTGGTTAGGACTGAGGCGTATATTGTCGATTGAGATGGGTAACTGGATATAGGGATGTGTGTGCTCTAGTGAGGACTTGTGACCGACCACCTTATGTGCGCTTTTCATGAGATATTCACTATCCGGTTGAGTCTACCCTTTAGTCCAGTGAGAGTCTTTAGTGTGTGTATATATATATTGACTATGTAGATATTGTATGAGTTAGCTAGGAATGTATCGTTCATTAGGTATCTATTTGGGTTGTTGTAGAAAGGACTTGTTCGTGGGTTTTGACCCACCTTTGCTATATTTTCCAGGTCCTCGTCAGTATCAAGCTTAGAGGTTGTTCGTACAGAGCAGAGATTACTCTTCTGGTGTCGTCAATGTAGGATTCTACTCATGTCTTCATTATTCATTATTTAGACATTTATCTATATTATTTCAATTTTGGGAAATATATATTAGGGATCCATTATGCAGATTCCCGAGTTGTATTCTTAAGGATTATTACATTTGATGATTTATAGGATTTATTCTATGACTGGTATAAGAAATTATTAAATTATTATTTCGTTTTCCTTTTCAGCGTTATTAATTATTTTATTATTTATTCCATTTGTATTCTATATTTGTTTATTATTAATTGTTCAATATCCCCCGGTTCTTGGGCAAGGACTTGATCAACTCGCGTTCGAAAAATTAGGGGTTATCACAGTTGGTATCAGAGCACTTCAGGTTCAAATGTCTCTAGGGTTCTTTCGTTATAGGACATCCACGTTGTGTATTATTTTATTTAGAGCCTAAGTTTTAAGACTCATTGTATTCCTTTACGTCCGTTAAATGAGTACTCATGTCTATCTTTCTGTGTTAACAGAATGGTTAAAGATGGGAAATATAGAAGATTAATTTAAAGAACAAGGCAACAAAGGAGGGTAGAGCACAGGCATTATAATCTCCTGCGACATCATCAACCTACAGAGGAGCAGCAGTTGCCTTTGTTTGAGGAGGAGAAGCAAGAGTATTAGGAACTTCAGGATCAGGGCCATAACCAGGGCAAGGATCCGTAGTATCCTCCTCAATGTTTTAGCACAAGTTACGTCTTTTGTCTCATCTTTCTCTAAACCTCTCACACCCATCTTTATTTATAGAGCCTTCAAACCCATTGTAAAAAATTTATAGTTGTTTTGTTATGGAACCCGATAGAAAACTCAATTAGAGTGGGGCAAATAACACCTTAAGGAAAGTGACTACACGCCTCAAAGCCACAAATCGTTTTTCCTTCTTCAATTTCGTGTCTTTTCCTTGACATGAAGTCTAGAGCGTTTGCACGAGGGAGTCATAAAGCCAAAGGTTCTTGGTAGAGCAGAATAGGTGTGTGCCTGAAACAAATTCAATTATACTTTGCTTCGAGATAGTGAATCGTTTCACTCAAGACTGCGAAAGTACATCTTCATGGTTTTGTCCAGGTTGGTTGGATATTTTCTAATAAATTAAGTTTTCCACTCTAAAGACCCGGTGTCAATCTCTAACTCTATCTTTACTTGTACTTTATTTTTCTTTTGTGGGGAGTTGTTTTAGTTTTATTTTTCTAAAATTAAAATAAACAAAAAACAAATAAAAGAACAAGTTAAACCTATTTAATCCCTTAAAGTATTTATCAAAATATTTTTTCACAATCATTCCGCCTAGTTCAACTAACACTGTAAACATGAGATTTCCCATAGTCTTTCATTATTCCTAGAAGCATTTTTCAAAAAGTGCGTCCATTGAAGTTTGTCTTTGGATGCTCCCACCGTTTCCACTTTCAAATCCAAAATAATATTGAAAAGATAAAGAGGAAGAGCATAGGCATGTCGTAAAATCTAATTGTTCCAAATAAATATCTAAATAGATAAGATAGATTTTGGTTCCTAACATTTTTTGACACACTTCACTGGTGATGTCATTTGAGTACCTCAACCACATTGATGTCATCAACCAAAATTTATCACTCTTTTCTCCTACCAGTGGCAAGAATCAGATCGCCCTACATATCCTTAATCTTGAACCTAAAGCATAGGCTCCATGGCTGTCATGGTGACATGTAGGCATATTTAATTATAGTAATAACTAAATATAAATTGTTGATAACCATAGAATGTCCATGTTTAAATGTGATTAAAGTTTAATACACAATTTTTTTTTCCCCAGATAACTAAACTTTTATACACATTCTTTTGAATTGCACAACAAAAACTGGCAAAACATTTTTACAGTACTACTTCTGCATGCTTTTCCTTTACACAAGAAAGCTGCAGCTTTGAGACCTCATTCTAAGTAGCTACATAACACATATAAATGACCTACCATTACAAAAATAAAATAAAATTGTCTAGCTGATAATAAATCCCCATTTGGAATTAGCATACTTTACAAGCTCATTCAACTCTTCTTCATTGATAAATCCATCTTCATTGGCATCCGCGTGGCGAAGGGCACGCTGAGCTCTCCAGCCGCTGAAATGCAAACCTAGGGTTTTGAAAGCAGCCTTCAGTTCTTCCCTACTAAGCTTGCCGTCTCTGTTGGTGTCATGTCTTTTGAGAAGACCCTTAATCTGCTCTTCAGACAGTGGAACACTTACACGCCTAATACTCCACATAAGCTTTTCTTACCTATATTTGTTTCAGTTATTGTCTGTTGATGGGAACAAATTAAATGAGAACTAGCATCTTATGTTGTGACAAAGTTGTAACAAATAGAACCCAATAAATTTTTTATTTTTTTTTGGGTTTGTTCTCTTCTCTTTTCGGTGAATAAAGTGTTGATGAGTAGGGCCACTAGTACCAGGACTGCAAATTAAGAAATAAGTGAGCTACTTCTTAGCTTCTCGCAGATAAAAATAAAAAATTGAAGTTATTAATTGAATGGAATATTTTATAGAGTTCATCCAAGAAGAATATCTTAAAGCTACAACAATATCTGGTCAGAAGATTGCAATTTACCATAACAAAATAATTCCTCTCCCATATGATAGGATGCATTTTCTGAAAAGTGCATTCAAAAGAGTTGGTCGGCGTTTCTGATAAGTATAATAATAACATTCCTAGATTCTACCTTACCAAAAAAAAAATCTTAGATTCTATCAAAACTAAAATGATAAAGACTGAGGCTACATGATAGTATAGTTCTTATAGTGAGTAAGATTTTGATTCGACCCTACTACAATACCGATGTTACTTTATGTGGACAGTACGTGCTTAATTTGTTTTCCAAAAAACACTCCGATAAATAATCCATAAAGAAAATCAGTTGAAAGTATGAGATATAATTTTTGTACTTGGCTAATTTCGGTGTTAAAAACAAGTCAAATCGAGTTGTAATTTTAAAGTTACCAGACTAAGATCGAGATCGGCTGCGGAATTGAAAAGTTGTTCAAGTTTGATAAACTAAGATCTACAAAAAAGGTATGAACAACATTTAGGAAATTGTTTCCCACTTAGGATACTATAAATATATGGTTTATTTTTTCAAAGTTTCCAAAACAAAAAAATTACAAACTGTTAAACCTTCCCTTTCAATTTTGTCATGTGGGAACGGGTACCAACCTTTACTATCGGTTCACGAACCTTAACTTTGAAGAAAGCTTTCTGTCATTTGGGAATTGGTTCCAAAATTGGCTACCGGTTCCACTTGCTGATATAGTTTAGGATTTTCAATTTCCTGTTCTGCCTAAACTTTCTATTTGGTTTGGAATTTTTTCCAAAAGCCTTATGCACAAAATTTACCTTTTCCTATGCATATCTAAGTCTTTGAAGAATCTATATAAACCTTGATTTATATTTAGGTTAGTATGGCTTATGCATTACAACTTTTGATTTATTAAAAGCCTATCTAAGAGATATTTTGCAGAAAATTAAATATGATTTTTCTGTCTTTATTTCTGGAACACACACATAAATACAAGAGTGATTTTAGAGCATCGTGGAAACACGAAACGCGTTGTGGACACGAGACTGATTTTCCGCAACATGGAAACATGAAACACGTTGTGGACATGATGTAAATGGTTCGGAAGTGCTAACCGATATGCTATAGTTCCAATGCGATCTATAATCATAAAAGGACCGAAAAAACGCGGTGACAATTAACTTTCTTTCTTCCCAAAACGTATTACTCCCTTCATAGGAGACACTTTGAGCAACACCTGGTCTCCAACCTGAAACTCTAAACTGTGAGTACAACGATCTGCATAACTCTTCTGCATACTCTGGTAGTGCGCATGTGATCACAAATAACAACAATCTTCTCAGAGGTATCCTTAATGAATTTCGGACCAAAAAATCTGCTTTCTCCAACCTCCAATCAACAAAGAGGAGGTATGCACTGTCGGCCATATAATGCCTCAAATGGTGCCATACCAATAGTTTTTAGAAAGCTATTTTATATGCAAATTCCACAAGTGGCAAATAATCCTCCTAATTGCCCTTAAAAACAAGGACACAAGAACGAAACATATCCTCCATTATCTGATTAACTCTCTCAGTCTGTCTATCAGTCTGAGGATGGTAAGTGTAGACACTAAAATTTTATGGACTTTTGTTTTGACAAATTGACCCATTAAATATGGGGCTCATATTTAATTAAATTATTTAATTGGACCAAACTTGGTCACTTTTGTTTTGACAAATTGACCCATTAAATATGAGGCTCATATCTAATTAAATTATTTAATTGGACCAAACTTGGTCCACTTAAATTATTTAATTAGTCCAGCCTAGTTGATTAAATAGAAAGATAATTATTCCTAATAAAATATATTTGGAATAATTATTTTATAGATAATCATCACAATATAGCCGGCTCGGCCCAGCCCAGTTATGATTTTGTCCTTATCAGGAGAGGATGCGTGTCATCATCCTATTAATCGAAGAAGCCTATAAATAGAGGCCTGGAGGAAAGAGGAAAGGGGTCGAGAAACTGAAAGACTCAAAAATCCAGAGGCCAGAAATCCAGAGAGAATTCTAAAGAGAAATACAAAAGTTCTGCCGATATTCATCTCCAACACCCAAACCTAAAGGCGAAGAGCAACAAGCACATCAAATCGTGCCGTTCTTCGTCAAAATTCAACAGTGATCAACAACAAGCACAACCAAAGCCGTGTCAGTCTTCCACAACTTTAACAAATTCTATGAAGACGAAGAATAACAAGCACATCCAATCCAAAGCCATGCCAATCTTCCCAATTTCAACAAAGAATAACAAGCACATCAAACTCGTGCCATTCTTTTCTCTGTGATTCAACAAGTTTGAAGAATCACTAAAAAACACTGTTCGAGATCAAGCTTCGTTAACCCTCGATCAACAATCATCGGCGATCTTCCTCAACTACAAATACTTTAAGAAGATTGTCAAACAGCCCGATTCAAGAGATTAGGCTCCAATAGCCCTTAAATCCAACCAAGAAAGGAGATCGAATAAGAGGACAAGTTCTTTATTTTGTAAAGAATATCTCAGAGGATTGTACTCAATTTTCATAAATTAATAAAATTCTATTTGTTCCCTATTTCTATCTTTTATTTACAGATTACGAAATTTGTGTGAACAAATTTTTGGCACGCCCGATGGGACATCATTTGCCTCTCATCTCTTTCTTTTACATTAAATCTTCAACAAATTCTCATCATCAGAATTCATAGCTTTCAACAAGATTCAGATGAAGAGCAAGAATACCACCAAGGACATCGTAGTTGTGACAAACGACATCAATACCACCACAAAAGGTGATAAGAAGGTTACAACTTCGTCAAGTGGTACAAACACCTCTGCAAGTTCAATGAGGTGGAACATGGTCAAATCATCTGTTCCTGCCAAAAGACAGCATGATGCGATGAGAGTCAATTCCGCCACATCTTTCAATAAGAATGAAAGATCATCGAATTCCTATCATTGTTCTTCTCTTCAGAAATTGCCTATATCTCATCAATATTCTGTACACTTATTCTTAATTTATTTCTTTAAGTGTTCGGGTGTAGAAATTTGCACATACACTTTGGCGTCGTCTGTAGGAATTCGATGCAAAAAAATCCATTTTCTATTACTTGCATGCTATTTTAATCCAGAATGGCAGCAGGATCAGACACTGCACAACCGCGATAACTAGAGACCATGCAGAAAATACGCGAAGAGATGCAAGTGCATCTTAACGTCCTACGACAGGCCAATGAAGACAGTATTGAACAGATTAACGCACTAAGACAAGCTCAAGAAGCCAACATGGTGCAAATCAACACCCTGCGTGAGGAAAACGAAAGACTTCACGGGATGCTCGGTGGAATGATCCTTAGATCGACCCACCGCCCAAATAGCAAAACGAAAATCCTCCTCTGGAGCCAGGTCACATAATCCTAGATAACCCTTCTCTCTAGCAGAGGGTTCCACGGCAACAGCTGAACGAAGCATTGGATGATGCCAACGACACAGCAAGCGAATCTTGCATCCTTGGAAACTCTACTTTGGGAGAACCTCGAACCACTAAGGTCCATCCATTAGATGATGCTGATTTACGCAGGAAGGAAGTATGCGTTCCAGCGATTGATCAACCCTCTTCAGGGAGTGACTTTATCGCCAAGCTCTGAAAGGAAATGGATGAGCGTTTCAAAGGGCTGAAGGCCCAAACACCTAAAGACATGGCAAGGGAATTCACTGCATCAATAGTGAAGACTCCTTTTACCGATGAGATAGAACGAGTTGCGAGACCCAAGAAATTCGTAATGCCAAAGTTCATCAAATTCAATGGAACTAGAGACCCTCTCCAGTACCTAAACCATTATACTCAGGAAATGACACTAGAAGCACACAATGATCCATTCATATGCAAAATATTCCCATCCAGTTTGATAGGGGTGGCCCTAGAGTGGTTAAAAAATTACCCATGCAAGTCAATTCCAAACTTTGAATCATTATACATAGCGTTTCTATCCCAGTACTGCGGAAACAAGAAATAGAAAAAAAACCATTGCCAGTTTTTTCATGATTCAATAGATGTAGGGAGAGAGCCTACAAGCCTTCCTTACTCGATTCAACATGGAGTCCTCTGATATTCCAGATTACAACCAGGATACGGCCATAGAAGCATTCAAGATAGCTATGGTGCAAGGCTTATGTTTTCACTCTTCTCTGGTAAAGAAAACTCCAACCAACATGTCAGAGTTGAATTCACGAGCACAAAACTATATTAGGCTTGAAAAAAATGAAATAACCAGGCACCAAAGGGCAACTTTGGTCATTGTGGAGAGCAGACCAAAAGAGTGATTGGGCACGTCAAAAGTCCATTGGGAACCTCCGAGCATCGAAGGAAGAGCCCCCAAAAAGAAGTCTCGAATGGCCGAAAAGGTCACACCACTCAAAGTGATGCTGGCCAGGCTGTATCAAGAGACTAAGGAGAGAAACATTTTTCAAATCCCACCTCTGATCAAACAACCAATAGAGCAGAGAGACCAAAGTAAACACTGTACATTTATAGTGATTTTGGTCATTTAACCAACGATTACAGAAGCTTGAGAAGGTAAGTGAAGGCACTAATAGCCAAAGGCGAATTGGTAGACTACCTAATTAACCCGGGATAACAGAGGCAACATGAGCGAACCCAGACGATTCCAA